AACCTCAGGAAAGTATATTATTTGCAAAAAACCTTTTGGAAAGGGAAAGCCCATTTCCCGGAAAGAAACCCTCGGAAAGGGAAATTTCCCATTACGAAAACCCCCCTTTTGGAAGGAAGTCATGCCCCCCCCCCCCCCCCCCCCCCTGCACAACCTCTGGTAAGGAAGTCATGTACTAAACCAACCTCTGGAAAGGAATTCATGTATGCAACAACCTCTGGAAAGGATCATGTATTTGAAACCACCTCTGGAAAGGGAATCATGTATTTGCAACAACCTCGGTTAGGAAGCATTTACCTGCACCCACCTCTGGAAAGGAAGTCATGTATTTGCCCAACCTCTGGTAAGGGAAGTCATTTTACTGCAACAACCTCGGTAAAAAAAGTCATGTACCCTCGGGTTCAGGAAAACCCTCTGGTAAGGAATAAATTTTACGCAAAAAACCTCAGGAAAGGGATCATGTACTCGCAGAAACCCTCTGGAAAGGGAAGTCTTGTATTTGCAACCTCGGTAAGGTATTTCCATTTTACTCTGCAGCAACCTCGGGTAAGGAATTCATTACTGAAAACAACCCGGTTTAAGGAATCATGTCCTCGGGCCAACCCGGGTAAGGAAGTAAATTTATTTCAAAAACCCTTTTTTCCGTAAGGTAGTCATGTACTCTGCAGAAACCCTTTGGGAAATGGAATCATGTACTGCAAAAAACCCCCGGAAAGGAAGTCTTCCTGAAACAACCTCTGGTAAGGAGTCATGTACTCTGCAACAACCTCGGGTAAGGTAGTCATGTTACTCTGCAACAACCTCAGTAAGGTAGTCATGTACTCTGCAGCAACCTCATGTAAGTAGTCATGTACTCTGGCAACAACCTCAGGTAAGGTAGTCATGTACTCTGCAGCAACCTCAGGTAAGGTAGTCATGTACTCTCAGAGCAACCTCGGGTAAGTAGTCATGTACTCTGCAACAACCTCAGGTAAGGTAGTCATGTACTCTGCAGCAACCTCGGGTAAGGGTAGTCATGTACTCTGCAGCAACCTCAGGTAAGGTAGTCATGTACTCTGCAACAACCTCAGGTAAGGTAGTCATGTACTCTGCAGCAACCTCAGGTAAGGTAGTCATGTACTCTGCAACAACCTCTGGTAAGGTAGTCATGTACTCTGCAACAACCTCTGGTAAGGTAGTCATGTACTCTGCAACAACCTCAGGTAAGGTAGTCATGTACTCTGCAACAACCTCAGGTAAGGTAGTCATGTACTCTGCAACAACCTCTGGTAAGGTAGTCATGTACTCTGCAACAACCTCAGGTAAGGTAGTCATGTACTCTGCAGCAACCTCAGGTAAGGTAGTCATGTACTCTGCAACAACCTCTGGTAAGGAAGTCATGTACTGCAACAACCTCTGGTAAGGTAGTCATGTACTCTGCAACAACCTCAGGTAAGGTAGTCATGTACTCTGCAGCAACCTCTGGTAAGGTAGTCATGTACTCTGCAACAACCTCTGGTAAGGAAGTCATGTACTCTGCAACAACCTCAGGTAAGGTAGTCATGTACTCTGCAACAACCTCAGGTAAGGTAGTCATGTACTGCAACAACCTCAGGTAAGGTAGTCATGTACTCTGCAACAACCTCAGGTAAGGTAGTCATGTACTCTGCAACAACCTCTGGTAAGGAAGTCATGTACTCTGCGACAACCTCAGGTAAGGTAGTCATGTACTCTGCAGCAACCTCAGGTAAGGTAGTCATGTACTGCAACAACCTCTGGTAAGGTAGTCATGTACTCTGCAACAACCTCAGGTAAGGTAGTCATGTACTGCAACAACCTCAGGTAAGGTAGTCATGTACTGCAACAACCTCAGGTAAGGTAGTCATGTACTCTGCAACAACCTCTGGTAAGGTAGTCATGTACTGCAACAACCTCAGGTAAGGTAGTCATGTACTGCAACAACCTCTGGTAAGGAAGTCATGTACTCTGCAACAACCTCTGGTAAGGTAGTCATGTACTGCAACAACCTCTGGTAAGGTAGTCATGTACTCTGCAACAACCTCAGGTAAGGTAGTCATGTACTCTGCAGCAACCTCAGGTAAGGTAGTCATGTACTCTGCAACAACCTCAGGTAAGGTAGTCATGTACTCTGCAACAACCTCTGGTAAGGTAGTCATGTACTCTGCAACAACCTCAGGTAAGGTAGTCATGTACTCTGCAACAACCTCTGGTAAGGTAGTCATGTACTCTGCAACAACCTCAGGTAAGGTAGTCATGTACTCTGCAACAACCTCAGGTAAGGTAGTCATGTACTCTGCAACAACCTCTGGTAAGGTAGTCATGTACTCTGCAACAACCTCAGGTAAGGTAGTCATGTACTCTGCAACAACCTCTGGTAAGGTAGTCATGTACTCTGCAACAACCTCTGGTAAGGTAGTCATGTACTCAGACCTCAGATATTTTATACATGTATTCTCTAATCAGTTATTAATTTGAATTAAATCTTATTTGCAGTATTTTCCTTAAAGGTTTTCATTATTTATTTAGTTTAATCAATTTTTTCATATATATATCTTTTGGCAAATGTTAAGCATCAAGATTTTATGGTGTCAAAAGTGTTTGATATCGTATTTATGATGTTGGAGGCTCGATCTTCCACCCACTAACTGTTACCCTGTCTTTAATCTGAGTAAGTGTTACTCAGGTACAGTTTACATCATTGATGACCTTGCAGCATTGAAATAAAAAGTAATGAGGCTTCACGGAAGGAAGAGGATAGCTTCAATTACTTATATCAAAAGGTATTCACTAGCAACAAGGCGCCTCCCTCACGGGATACTGAACTGTTAGTGAAGCTCTTGTTGATATCCTTATCACCTTCTTCAAGTCTTCCAGCTCAGGTTGAGGTTCCTAAACCTGTATTCCCTGGAACGCAGGAGGGAGAGATACATGATTATATACACCTGGAAAATCCTAGAGGGACTAGTACCGAACTTGCACACGAAAATCACTCATTACGAAAGCAAAAGACTTGGCAGACGATGCACCATCCCCCCAATTACCTTTAGTAGGAATCTTATCCTGTATGATGAAATATGACTGTGACATATACTCTGTAGATTAAAATGCAAAGTGGGAAATCACTATAGCAGTCACGTGAATCACAAGTCGTTCAGAATATTATAAAAAGATCTAAAAAACGGGGTAACTGTTTGTTCTTGCCTGTAGCAGATAACAAGAAGCCACAGATGGACACTCAGGAAAACTTGGAGTCAAACCGATGACAAAATTTTTCATAGCAAAGTGATTTCCCGAGGAAATCATTTAAAAAGAGGTAAAAAGTGTCCCAACCATTGGAGACTTAAAAAGAAAAACTTATACAATATGATAAAAAAAATAATGGCGATGGAACTCGAGCATCAAAACGAGAGATCTGTTATATACCTCGATAAACCATACCCCCGGCCGGGATTGAACCCGGGGTCATAGTCTCAAAACTCCAGACCGTCGCGTTAGCCACTAGACCACTAGCCAAAATAAAAATTCAACCAATGGTATATTTCTACGCCTGGGAAAGGGTTTGCATTTTGTGGTCACAGAGGTGCCTGTGCAAACCCTTTTCCTATGGTGTAGAAATAATTTTGGGGGGATGAATTTTTTGGGGAAGTGGTTGTGGTAACGCGACGGCTGGAGTTTTGGACTCTATGACCGGGGTTCAATCCCGGGGGGGGGGTATGGTTGTTTGCAATCGTGTCTTACGTTTTCTTGAGTCAAACCCTCGACCTTTAAAAAAGAAACCCTCTTAGAAATTTTTTTCTAAGGCCCACGTATCCAAATCTTTTTTTACGTTTCTTTTCTAAGTAATTTCTCATTTTTTTTGATCATTATTTTTTAATTTTAATTTAAAATGACTAAAATTTTATATTTACACAGCGGAAGCTACAAGTTTTGGGGTTTTTGTATGGCGGGTGTGTTGCCACAAGACGGCTCGCAGACATTCTACCAGAGTTAAAATTTGATGACCTTCAAAATTTAGTTTACTTCTGTGATATTTTAAAAAATATTTTTGAGTGTAATAGTAAAAACAATATTCAAAAAACTGTAAATATTTTTGTTTTACTAAATGATTAGCGAAGAATTCTGAAGCAAGTTTCCCGGGGCCAAATTTTGTGGTAACTTTCTGTACTACCCAATTTAAAACGGGGGTGAAACCTTCATAGGATTTGGGGATGGGGTGACAACCTTTCCCCAGGATGGGGATGGGATGACAACCTTCCCCAGGATGGTATGGTGACAACCTTCCAAGGATGGGTCGGGATGACAACCTTCCCAGGATGGTATGGGGTGACAACCTTCCATAGGATGGGGTTTGGGATGACAACCTTCCATAGGATGGGTACGGGGATGACAACCTTAATAGGTGGGTTTTGAGAACAACCTTTCCCTAGGTGGGTACGGGATGACAAACCCTTTCCCAAAGGAAAAGGGTTGAGATGACAACTTCCATGGATGGGGGATGGGATGAAAAAACCTTCCCTAGGATGGGGTTGGGGGAAAACCTTCCCTAGGATGGGTATGGGGTGACAACCTTCCATAGGTGGTTTTTGGGTGACAACCTTCCTAGGATGGGGATGACAACCTTTTAGGATGGGTACGGGATGGAAAACCTTCCATAGGATGGGTACGGGTTACAACCCTTCCCGGAGGGTACGGGGGTGAAACCTTTTTGGAGGGAAGGGTGCAACCTTCCATAGGATGGGGGATGGGTGACAACCTTCATGGATGGGTAGGGAAGACAACTTCCATAGGGTGGGGGACGGGATGACAACCCTTTCCCTAGGATGGTACGGGATGAAACTTCCATAGGAGGGTTGGGATGACAACCTTCCCTAGGATGGGTATGGGATGACAAACCTTTTCCTGGATGGGTATGGGGTGACAAACCCTTTTGGAGGGTATGGGGGTGACAACCCTTCCCCAGGATGGGTACGGGATGAAACCTTCCCTAGGGGGGGTACGGGATGACAACCTTAAAGGAGGGTACGGATGACAACCTTATAGGATGGGTAGGAATGAAACCTTCCACAGGTGAGTATGGGATACAACCCCCCATAGGATGGGGAGGGATGCAACCTTCCAAGGTGGGTATGGGGAAACCTTCCCTAGGATGGGTATGGGATGAAACCTTTCCCAGGATGGGATGGGGGTGAAACCTTCCATAGGTGGGGACGGGGCAAGCTTCCTAGGTGGGTATGGGATGACAACCCTTCATGGATGGGTTGGGGTGACAACCTCCTAGGATGGGTATGGGATGAAACCTTTCCCTAGGGTGGGTATGGGATGACAACCTTCCATAGGAGGGTTGGGATGACAACCCTTCCCTAGGATGGGACGGGATGACAACCTTAAAAGGGGGGTATTTGAGACAACCTTCCAAGGTGGGGTTTGGGGGCAACCCTTCCCCAGGATGGGGATGGGATGACAAAATTCCACAGGATGGGTATGGGTGACAACCCTTCCCCGGTTGGGGATGGGAGAAACCCTTTCCCCAGGTGGGTATGGGATGACAACCTTTTTCCCCAGGATGGGTATGGGATGACAACCTTCCCTGGATGGGTTGGGATGACAACCTTCCAAGGATGGATATGGGATGACAACCCTTCCCCAGGAGGGTTTCGGGATCAACCTTCCACAGGATGGGTATGGGGTGAAAAATTCATAGGATGGGTTTTGGGATGACAACCCTTTCCCCAAAGGGTGGGTATGGGATGACAACCTTTCCCAGGGTGGGTAGGGATGAAACCTTCCATAGGATGGGTATGGGGATGACAACCCTTTCCTAGATGGTATGGGATGAAACCTTCCCCGGAGGTACGGGGTGAAACCTTCCCAGGTGGGTAGGGATGACAACCTTCCCCTGGAGGGTATGGGGGACAAACCCTTTCCCTAGGATGGAATGGGATGACAACCTTCATAGGATGGTATGGATACAACCTTCCACAGGATGGGTACGGGAGACAACCTTCCACAGGGGGTATGGGATACAACCTTCTACAGGATGGGTCGGGATGAAACCTTCCACAGGTGGGGATGGGATGCAACCTTCGATAGGATGGGTATGGGATACAACCTTCCCTAGGAGGGGTTTGGGATGACAACCTTCCACGGAGGGTACGGGATGACAACCTTTCCCCAGGGGGTACGGGGTGACAACCTTCCACAGGGGGGCGGGAGAAAAATTTCCCCAGGATGGGGATGGGGTGAAACCTTTCCCTAGGTGGGTAGGGTGACAAATTCCCCAGATGGGGATGGGGTGACAAACCTTTCCCAGGAGGGTTGGGATGACAACCTTCCTAGGGTGGGTATGGGATGACAACCCCCACAGGATGGGGATGGGTGACAACTTCCCTAGGATGGGTAGGGGTGACAACCCTTTCCCTAGGAGGGTATGGGATGACAACCCTTTCCCCAGGATGGGTATGGGATCAACCTTCCCCAGGATGGGTAGGGATACAACCCTTCCCCAGGATGGGACGGGATGCAACCTCCCCAGGATGGGGTTTTTGGGGTGAAAACCCTTTCCCAGGATGGGTATGGGATGACAAACCCTTCCCATAGGGGTGGGTATGGGTGACAACCCTTCCCAGGGTGGGTATGGATGACAACCTTCCACGGGTGGGTAAGGGGTGCAACCCTTTCCACAGGATGGGGATGGGGTGACAATTTCCACGGATGGGTATGGGTGACAACCTTCCACAAGATAGTTATGGATTTACAACCTTCCACGGATGGGATGGGGTGACAACCTTCCTAGGATGGGTATGGGATGACAACCTTCCCCGGATGGGGTTTTGGGGTGAAAAACCTTTCCCGGATGGGTTTTTTTGGGGGGGACAACCTTCCCCAGGTGGGTATGGGATGACAACCTTCCCCCAAGTAGTTAGGTTGACAACCTTCCACAGGAGGGGGATGGGATGAAAACCCTTCCACAAGTGGGAGGGATGACAACCTTCCACAAGATATTATGGGTTGAAACCTTCCACAGGTGGGTCAGAATACAACCCTTTCCCCAGGATGGGTATGGGATGACAACCTTTCCCCGGAGGGGACAGAAAGAAACCCTTCCCAGGATGGTTTGGGTGACAACCTTCCACAGGAGGGTACAGAATGACAACCCCCACAGGATGGGATGGGGTGAAAACCTTCCACAGGAGGTTTATGGGATGACAACCTTCCCCAGGTGGGTATGGGTGACAACCTTCCCAAAATATTTTGGGTTTACAACCTTCCCCTAGGTGGGGGGATGACAACCCTTTCCCTAGGTTGGGTATGGGATGAAACCCTTTCCCTAGGATGGGTACAGAAAGACAACCTTCCACAGGATGGGTATGGGAGACAACCCCCCTGGTTGGGTATGGGGTACAACCCTTTCCCCGGATGGGGACGGGGATGACAACCCTTTCCCAGGATGGGTATGGGATGACAAAACCTCCACAGGGGGTATGGGTAAACCTTCCCCGGGTGGGTACAGAAGACAACCCTTCCCCCGGGTGGGGGATGGGATGACACCCCATAGGTGGGTTGGGGAAAAACCCTTTCCCTAGGGTGGGTATGGGGTGAAACCTTCCCCGGATAGGTAGGGGTGAAACCTTCCACAGGATGGTATGGGGGTGACAACCTTCCAAAGGATGGGGACGGGATGACAACCTTCCACGGTGGGACGGGGATGACAAACCCTTTCCCCAGGTGGGTCGGGATGACAACCTTCCATAGGATGGGTATGGGATGACAACCTTCCACAAGATGGTTATGGGTTGACCACCACCCATGGAATGGGTAACTAGTGACTATACCCCATACAATGGATATTGGGACAATAATAAAAATCTAACAAGTAGAACGATGCTGAGGAACCAGAACACTCTAAATGTAACTTTTATTACCTTCATTTACTGGTACAGAAAATCCACTTTGCCACAATATTTGCAGATGACACTACATACGTCTTCTCTCACCCGAGCCCAGTCACGCTAGCCAATACTGTAAATACCGAATTACAGAAAATATCTACCTGGATGAGGACTAACAAACTTACACTAAACATTGACAAAACCTACTTCATTCAGTTTGGTAACAGAGCTACAGATGTCCCTCTTAACATAATGATAAACGGATCACCTATCACAAAGCTAACAGAGGGAAAATTCTTAGGAATCCACCTTGATAATAGACTCAAATTTCATACACATATACAACAAATTTCTAAGAAAATTTCCAAGACTGTAGGCATACTATCGAAGATACGGTACTATGTTCCACAGTCAGCCCTCCTGGCCCTATATCACTCTCTTATTTACCCCTATCTCACCTATGGAATTTGTGCATGGGGCTCAACAACAGTTAACCATCTCAGACCACTAATTACCCAACAAAAGGCTGCAGTTAGAATGATAACAAATTCTCACTACAAGGCAGCACACTCCACCAATATTCAATACACTAAACCTACTCACCATACAAAACATCCATACTTATTACTGCACCTATTACATACATAGAACACTTAACTCTGATATTAACCCTCCCCTCAAACATCTCCTTGCCAACCTCAACAGAACACATGACCATAACACAAGGCACAGATCACTCTTTGATGTTCCTCGTGTTCATCTCACACTATGCAAAAACTCAATGCACATAAAAGGCCCTAAAATCTGGAATTCATTACCTGTAAATATAAAAGAAACACTACCTGTTTATAAATTCAAGTCTCTACTCAAAGATCACTTACTCACCCAAAACCAAATAAATACTGAATAACTGAACCTTATAAATTGTATATCTTAAATGTTTCTCACAATTATATCACATAAATGTTAAACCTAAAACCCAATCTAACTTTATTATTTTTTAAATACACTACCTAACAGAATCCTTCATATGACCTGTCTTTGTAATACTCACTTGTGCTTTATAGTAATCTGTTTACATTAATGTTTTATCACTGACTTCATCATTGCTTAATTAATCTTAAGTTAATTTTAAGCCAGCCCGTAATGCTATGCATAGTATAAGTGGCTTTGGCATACTGCTCTTATCTGTATTTTTTTGTACCTCTGTATGTGTGCACAAATTTATAATAAATAAATAAATAAATATACCGGGACTGATATTTAGAATATTAACTACAGCCAGATCGCTGAGGTTTCAACTATTGAGGGTTCAATTTTTGAGTATTTAACCCACCCTGTAAACTGCAGTGATTCTCTAACACAATGTAAATAATGTACAACAATTAGGTATGTTATTGCGAAACTGTTCGCCAGCACAGTAGGCTTCATCAGTCGAGTACAGATATCGCAGATATGGAGAGAGTAGATGCAGTGTAACGTTCCAGTCAGGGTATTGTGCCTTTTCCTGTTATTTATTAAGGATGATGTGAATCAGTCCATCAACCCTGAAGGAGTAGTTTGAGGTGTCAGTCCCTCAACCAGGAGATGTTTTTCAACTTGATAACCTTGAAACATGTGAAGCTCAAGCATGAGAAGAACCTCATCACATCTCTTTTAAATTTCCCTCCTCTACTGCTGCTGTCTCCATATTTACCACCTCTGTATTCGACTGAGAAGTCTGGCGAAAAGTCTCGAAATAAGATACCTAATTGTTGTACATATCTCGGTTATCTAATTCTCGGTATTGTTATTATTATATTCATGCTGTTGGATACTGCAATACAAAGTTATCTTAGTACTGAGGTCACCTTAAACTTCATTGTTGAACCACTAATTATGAGGAGAATAGCTGGTTTTAAAAAACCTACCCAGCATGGTCCAGTGGGCTTGTCAGTGTTAACTAGATCTCCCTACCAGGGCCAGTAGGCTTCTTGCCGTGTTAATTAGACCTGCCTACCATGGCCAGTACCCTTCTTGCCGTGTTAATTAGACCTGCCTACCATGGGCCAGTAGGCTTCTTGCCGTGTTAATTAGACCTGCCTACCAGGGGCCATAGGCTTCTTGCCGTGTTAATTAGACCTGCCTACCATGGGCCAGTAGGCTTCTTGCCGTGTTAATTAGACCTGCCTACCATGG